CCCGGGGTCCCCGCCGGCCCGATCGCGGACGCGTGACGCTCCCCGATCGGGCCGGTTGTGCGTCTCGCCCCTGGGTGGTTCGGTGGGATTTGGCTTAACTATTGGATTTAGGTCTTTTTTAAAGCGCGGGGCCTAGCGTTGGTGGCCATCGCAAAGGACGTTGCGAAGACGAGGATTGCCGTACAATGTCGAACGACCGTCCAGGTAGGCCGGCTGTCGCCATCGGGCCCAACGGGCAGCCGATGACGCTTGACGACCTTCCGCCGCCGAACACGAAGCGCTGGGTGATCCGCCGCAAGGCCGAGGTGGTCGCCGGTGTGCGCGCCGGCCTGCTCAGCCTGGAAGAGGCCTGCGAGCGCTACAAGCTGTCGATGGAGGAGTTTCTCTCCTGGCAGCGCCTGATCGACCGCCACGGCGTGCGCGGTCTGCGCACCACCCGGCTGCAGGATTACCGCCGTCCGGAGGGAAACGCCGAGAGTGACGACGGCACGCTCGGCTTCCAGGCCGCCGAGTAGCGTCGGAGCCGCGGGCCCTCGGCGGCGCGGACAAGAGGAGGTGCGGGCAGGCCGCCGCCAGGCCTCCCGCCCTCCGCCGACCGGGGCGGCAATTTCTGCCCAGCACCGGGGCCAGATAGGCAAGTTTTTCCCCCGCATTAACGACGCTTAAACCAGCCGAGCCCTAGCGTGCCTCCATCGGCTGGGACGCGAGGCACACCTGCTTCGCGGGCAAGAGGGTTCGCCCGGCCGGGTCCGACCTTGAGCGACCAGGACGGTAACGCCCGTGAACGCCTTCTTCGAAACGTTGCGCAGCCTCGGCCCTGCCCGCCTCGCCCTGATGGCCGGAGTCGGGGCCGCGATCCTGGCCTTCTTCATCTACTTCACCGGCCGCCTCTCGCAGTCGGAGATGGCGCTGCTTTACGGCGAGCTGGAGCAGGCCGACAGCGCCCAGATCGTCAACACCCTGGAGTCCATGGGCGTGCCCTACGAGCTGTCGCGCGACGGCAGCCGCGTGCTGGTGCCCGAGGACCAGGTCGCGCGCCTGCGCCTGACCATGGCCGAGCAGGGCCTGACGACCGGCGGCTCCATGGGCTACGAGCTGTTCGACGGCGCCGACGGCTTCGGCAGCACCAGTTTCGAGCAGAATCTGCGGCACAAGCGCGCCATGGAGGGCGAGCTGGCCCGCTCGGTCTCCTCGATCTCCAGCGTGCGCTCGGCGCGGGTCCACCTCGTCCTGCCCGAGCGCGAGCTGTTCAGCCGCGAGCGGCGCGACCCCTCGGCCTCGATCGTCGTCAGCCTGGTCGGCAACCGCGGCCTCTCGGCGCAGCAGATCCGCGCCATCCAGCAGCTCGTCTCCTCGGCGGTGCCCGAGATGGCGCCCGGCGCCGTGTCCATCGTCGACGACGAAGGCAACCTGCTGGCGCGCCGCAGCGACGGCGAGGGCGCGGAGCAGCTCGCCACGACCGCCGAAGAGATGCGCGTCAACATGGAGAACCGCCTGGCCAACGCGGTCGAGTCGCTGCTCGAGCGCTCCGTCGGGCCGGGCAACGTGCGCGCCGAGGTGTCGGTCGAGCTGGACTTCGACCGCATCACCGAGAACAGCGAGATCTACGACCCCGACAGCCAGGTGGTCCGCTCCACCCAGGTCATCGAGGAGTCCTCCCAGGACAGCGAGGGCGGTGACGCCGCGGTCACCGTCGGCAACAACCTGCCCGACCCGGGCCTGCAGGACCCGGCCGCCGCGGCCGGCTCGAACAGCCTGAGCCAGCGCACCGAGGAGACGGTCAACTACGAGATCAGCCGCGTGGTGAAGACCCACGTGCGCGAGACCGGGCAGATCCGCCGCCTGTCGGTCGCCATTCTGGTCAACGGCGAGAGGGTCGAGGGGCCCGAAGGCGAGATCACCTTCGAGCCGCGCTCCCAGGAGGAGCTCGACCAGCTCGCCGCGCTCGCCCGCTCCGCCGTCGGCTACGACGCCGAGCGCGGCGACAGCGTGGAGATCGCCAACCTGCCCTTCGCCGACATGGTGCCCGCCGGCGTGGGCGGCACCGGCGTCGACAGCTTCCTCGGCATCAATCAGCAGGATCTGCTGCGCATCGCCGAGCTGATCGTCCTGGGCGTGGTCGCCGTGCTGGTGCTGCTGCTGGTCGTCAAGCCGCTGGTCGGCCGCCTGCTCGAGCGCGGGCCGGCCGTGGCCGGCGACGCCGGCGGCATTCTGGCGGGCGAGCTGGGCGGCCAGGGCGGCAATCTGCCGGTGCCCGCCGGCGCCGGGGCCGGCGTTGGGGCCGGCGGCGGCCTGCCGGCGACGGCAGGCGGACAGAACCGCTCGATTCTGGGCGGCGGCGGTGGCGGCGGCAGCGGCAGTGGCGTGGCCGTGGCCCAGCAGACCGGCGTGTCGCAGCCCGAGCTGGACGAGGAGAGCCACGACCTCGAACAGCTCATCGACATCAACCGCGTCGACGGACGGGTGCGCGCCTCCTCGGTCCGCAAGATCGGCGAGATCGTCGAGAAGCATCCCGAAGAGGCCGTCGCGATCCTGCGCAACTGGCTCTACCAGGAGACCTGATTCATCATGGCTGCCGCCGGTACCGCCCTGCGCGTCCGCGACGACTTCCGCACCCTGACCGGGCCCGAGAAGGCCGCCTTGCTGATGATGGCCATCGGCGAGGAGAACGCCGCGCGCCTGTTCACCATGCTCGACGACGAGGAGATCAAGGAGATCTCCGGCATCATGGCGAGCCTGGGCACGGTCGCCGCGCCGGTGGTCGAGCGGCTGTTCGTCGAGTTCGCCGACCAGATTTCCTCGACCGGCTCGCTGATCGGCAACTTCGACTCGACCGAACGCCTGCTGCTCAAGGTGCTCGACAAGGATCGGGTCGACAACATCATGGAGGAGATCCGCGGCCCCGCGGGTCGCACCATGTGGGACAAGCTGGGCAACGTTCACGAGAACGTCCTGGCGAACTACCTGAAGAACGAGTACCCGCAGACCGTCGC